CATGTGCTAATATTTACATGCTAGGAACCTTAGTTTCAATGCTAATGAGTTTTTCATCATCATAACTATATAAAGTGTGTTGAAAAGCAAATGGGAAGTGAAAATCTCAAAGAGAGTATTTAAAAGAGCAGTAGAAAAATGTGAAATCATGTTTGTGTCAACACGTTTCATGAGACAAGAACAGACAGATCTCCAATACCATCGAAAGATGGTACATTTGAAATGGACAGAAGTGTGTGTGGTTTTACACAGTGCAACACTGGAGCAGTGTTTCTCACTGTCACAAGCTATTATTGTTGTGAGTCAGATTTAAAAAATCCTTTACCAGCTGTTTCTGTTGACTTGGGAAAGGATGTTATTCTTCTCCTGAAAATCTTGGTATATGTAAAAAATGCAGATATTTACAGGAATATTAGTTAGGAAGGGAGGGTATGTCCAGCGTCCAGCAGTTTGCATATCTGTTAATAGACAGTCATTAGAAGTTAACTGGTTTTCTCTCTTAACCAAAACTTTTTTAGTAGTCTTGAATAAAGTTTGCTGAAACTGTCAGAAATATCTGTTAAAGCCTAGAACTTGAGTCAGATGGAGAGTACTGATAAGAAATGTGCTAGTGCTTCCATCATTCCTGGTCAGTTGTCATCAGCTCTTCTTCCATGCCATAGATTGCATTTCACATATTGTTGTATATTTGCAAAAAATAACCTTCCGCTTCCAAGTCAGAGACTTCAATTTTTAGAGACATATTGGTACATAAATACTGATAGATGAGCTAACAGAAATAAAAGTAAATTTTATGACATGTTTTTCAAGCATGTACAAGAAATTGTGGTTGCCAAAGTAGAGAACTGCTTACCTAGAGTGAATAAAATTTGGCAATGTAAGTTCAGTTGCTTTAACAAAGCATAAGTTCCAATAGTGCAAGTAGTCTAAAATTATCATCATCAGTGAGTACATTAATGAAACCTTGTTTTTCTTGTAATTTCCAACTGCAAAAACAAGTCTTTGGGGCATAATAAAACAAGAGCATACAGTATCTGTTTTAATAAATGATGTTCAGATAGGAAATACTGTCTGATGTTTATATTTTGGAATCTTTGTTGTTAAGGTTTTCTTTATTTAGTGAATGTTATTGTGGTGGCCACAGACACAGAGAGAACTGGCCTATCTTGATGATTTAAAAAAAAAACAAAAAACACCAGGAAAAAAAATATTTCCTCTCATGTACTACTCAGTGAATCAATATTGTCTGGCATAGGGTTATTCTGTTGACTGATCGCCACTGGATTTTTATTTATGGTTTTTAATTAACAATTACAGTTTAAATATCTTATATAAATCTATGGTCAGGGGGGTAGTTGTTGAACTTTATTATGTTATTTTGGTATGCAGAAATATCACAATGTTAGATTTCACTAGATCCCTGCTTTATAGAGGTTCTCTTTAGCTTTTAGAAGATCAAAAATAACTGCTTCATTTTGGGTTGGTCTTTTTTTCCAGTTTATGTAATTTGAGACAGAAATTCTCCTTTAAGAACATGAACCTGCAAGCTTTTTCTTTATTTTGTATAAAGCATATTGCAGCTAAGGACTGTTTAACTAGTACGGTTGTATGGATTATAATGAGGGCACTTCAAATCATATTCACCTTTAATTTCTATAGTATTACCGCAACCATGAAATAAGTGCTTAATTACCTTTCTACCATGGCAGGGTCTCTCCTTTTTCTAAATATGCTGTAGTAAATAAGCACAAAGGATTTAAATTGATCTCTTTTTATACTCATCTGGTCATGTAATTGATTCCCCAGTATTGAAACCTATTTTTTCTGTCTGTATACCGAAGATTTCTTTGCAAAGGTCCAGCCCCAGCAGGTTGATTACACACTTGTTACCTGTAATTCAATACAGCAGTGCCCTGTTTACAAAGTCCAGATTTCCTGGGCTGTCAGTTAGGGCAATCAGCACAAAGACCAAGAGCTTTTGGAACTAAATAAACAATGAGAAAAACATTCAGGGCTGCCAGTAACCTTCACAGGTAATTTAACAGCCTTTGACTACAAGGCATCAGTTGCTGTAGATGTCTGGCGAATATGAAATCTGACATTCTCCCTTGCCATGTTCTGCCAATAGGTCCGTGTGTAATCTCTCACTGAGGTTCGCCGCCGCTCCACTGCGCTCAACCAAACTGCCTTTATTATGACGGACGCCCACACCTGCATTCTGTCACTTACCTGCCGTGTACTTTTCTGAAAGGAAAATGGCAAATTATTTAGAATTTCAGGGTTAATGAAATTAAAAGTCAGTCCCTTGTCCCTTCTGCCATTCCTCTTCCTGGTCAGCAACCTGACCAGCACAGCCTTTTTGATCTCCTCTTAGAAATGTTTAAATATGAAGAAAGAAACTGCTTGAACAATTTTGCATAAATTGGACTCTATTTTTACTGCAAACAGGGAACAGAGTTATCTCTTTTCTAGATGACCTTTAAGTGTCGAGCAGATTACTTTATTGTCTTAAGCTTGGCGTTTATGTATTTTTAATTTAACTTTTTTAATTTCTGATGTATTTGGTGCCTTTTCTGTCGATTTAGATAATGATTAGAACAGCTCTTTTAAAGACCACTGATGTATCAAAGTAGACAAAAAATATCCGTGAGGAGAAGAAAACAGAGACGGAGATTCATCTGGGTCTTTGTAAGAAAAGTTCATATGTTTTACTTCAGCAGTCAAATCTCTTTGCAAGCAGATAAAATTAATGTTATCTGTACAAGTTTATAAGTGCATCTGTTAAAAAAACCACCACAAAACCCAAGTATAATGCTTTAAATTAGATGTCTATTGTTCATGTAAACAACCCAAACTGTCTGACAAATAAACATTTTCTTGGGTGCGTGCAACATGCTCGGCTCATGAAATCATGCCCTCTTTTTTAATTATCCGGTATATAAATCTGTAGACATCTTGCAAGCTGTTATGAAGAATCTATTTTTTCATGACTTCGTACAAATATAAGAACTGAAATGATTTGAAAAATCTGGGAAAATCTGTTATTCAATTATGTTTTAACCAGAAACTGCTTCCCTGTTCTATTTTTACACTTTCACGGATGAATTTCTGAGCGCCTTGTTGTGGTCAGTGTAATAGGAAATAGCTGAAGGTATTGTGCAACAGACACTCCCCATTGCTTGATTCACTATCTGCCCTGCAATTCTGTCTCAGGGAACATGTTTGTGCAGCTGTAGATAGGTGCGCATCCATGACTAAAACCCAAATATATATGTTTAGTATTAGTTTAGTTCTAATTATTTGCTGTGTCTGACTTGGGAATGAACGTACAGATTTAAATTACATAGACATGATTTGGGCAAGGGAGAAGAAGGATTGTTGTGTGGATATTTTTTTTTCTTTTTAATTATATTGTTCTCTGCAAAAATGGGGACTGGAACACTGGCAGACCAGAATAAGTTTAGTAAAACCATAAGGAATTCAAGTGAGACATTCCAAATTTGTTTGGGGATCCCTTAATATTTGGTAGTCTTTCTGTGGTCCCAGGGGAGCACGGAAAAGGATAACAACAACCCAGTTTTCATTGTGTATTAATGTGGTCAGGAACAACATTGGGAAGGCGATGATCTTACTAGGAGCAAAGTATTGTAAAATTTTAACTCATTTACAATGTGTGGGCATAGCAACAATTAAGGATTCTAGTGTAGAAAGTGCTAATGTGATTGTAACTGAAACAGGCAATTGGGCATAGCATGGTAACTTGTAGGAAGCAGCCATGTCCTGCATGGCCTAGCTCATGGAAACTTATGGAGTGAACAGTGACAACCCAGTATTTATAGTACGTTTCATGCTAGGGGATCCATTCTGTAGTCAGGATAGGTTGCATTTAACTGTTTCAGCAATGGCAACGCAGTGAACTGCCACAGGAAAGTGCTTCTGAGGTGGTGTAAGGTCCCCCACCACTATGTAGCTCATTTAGAAATTGAATAGTCACTACAACTGGATTATAATGTACCCTTATTAGGTTAGATTCATCGTGGATAACCAGTGTAATACTTCCATTAGAACAGAAGGTATCACTTGGGATTCTTATTTATTTATTTATTTTACACTACAAAATAATCCATACTTGACAAGAACTGAGATAATTTTAAGGCCCAGTCAAAAATGTGATCTGCAAGGGTAGCTATGTTTATGTCATACCCTGAAATTAGCCCTGAGTGAGAAATAAGGTCTCTGAGCTCAGCTCTTTTACTTGCAGTCCCTGTGCTTCCTTCTGTGTTGCTAACAACAGCTGAGCGAAGCTGAAGTACCCTAATGCACCTGTCACCAAAACGATTTTTTTTACATGGTTTGTCACAGGCTCTTTAAACACTTCTCAGAAGTGCACCCACAAAATGTTTGCTGCATGTTTATTTCTTTTGCAGTGTAAGAAAACTAACCCCAAGGAAAATTGTAGAAAAGTATTGGAAGACTGGTGGCTTCTGAATTACAGTAGCGCACCTCACAGTCATTCCATTAGCAACTGATAAATGCTCCTGCTTTCAGTTGTAGCCATTCTCGCCTTTGTGTATTAAATGATGAGGTTTATTCTCTGTGTGGATGAGAGCTAGATTTAGAGACATAGGCCAAGTTATTTTTTTTCAGTGAGAACCAACCTAGATCGCTAATCTATGCTTATTGTTATTCATGGGTTTGATGCTACAAGCAGTAACATCTGCACACAGGTCAAAATCAAGTGGAGGGCTTATGTTACAACTCAGCCTCATTTTAAATATGATTTTGAAGACATTATGACCAAGAGGATTTGAGTAGGTAGATGTCTACAGCAGACATTGGATATGCTTCTGTTTCCGCTTGAGTTCTAAGCTGATGAAATTTAGGCCTAGGTAGGTCTCTTTAAAGTTATGTTTCAGCTCCCTAACAATATCCCATACATTTGAAATACTTAGATTTTATTAATTTAATTGTACAAGTAATTTGAAACTTTTTAAAACTTTCTTTTATTGTGTTTTATTTGTGCCTTATTCTGCTACAGAACTCTCCCAGTGAGTGGTACTTCATAAATATCAGCAGCACCTATGTTCAATTTTAAAAAAAGAAAAAAAAATTAAGTGAAAAAAAAATTTGTTACTGCTTGATTTAAAAAAAGAAAATACAAAACCAAGATTTTGCATCAAGACCTGCAGCTACTCCTGTATTTATCTATCTTTTGACTGAATGGAAAGACCTAGCTACCACTTATCTCAGTAATGTCCATTAAGCATACCCAGATAAGACAATATTTACATATTCTTGCTTTTAAAGTTAAATTTTTCTACAGTCTGTTGTTAGGTTTTGTTCCAGTCTTCATTGTAGACTACTTCTACAGTACATCTCATTTGGCTGATCATGCACAGTAATCTAACAGTCAAGAGTGATCAGGAAAGGGGGAGAAAATGCTACTGAATCTTCAACTTCTGCTACTGCTTTCCCATTCCCCAAATAGGGAGAAAGCATCTGAAGGCGAATCCGCCATGTTCTGCATTGGCATATAAAGTAAGTCAGGATAAAGCTATACACTGTTAGATTTTTCCTGAAAAAAAAAATGGTTATTGTTAGCTGCAGAATGAGCTAGTTTTCTTCTTCTATTTTAATGAATTGCTTCATACCTCTTTACTTCAGGGCAGATTTAATACTGCTGTTGATGTTTTGATGTCTCTGGAGTGTAATGTATTTATGTTACAGTATAATTGTGTTTTACACTTCTTTCTTTAACTTTTGATTCTCAAATTCATCTACCCATTTCAGAGGGGAAAACAGACTGAAGATATTTTAACTGTGTTCTAATCATTCCTGACTCTTAATTTTTAAACAACATATTAAGAATGGGGTTTTGTCTCTTGGTAATATATCGGTGGAATGGGATCAGGCCACAGTTCAAAACAGGATTCTCACAAATCAAATTGATGTATTTTTCAAATCCAGAAGAGTGTTAGAACTGCCAAAGGAGTTCTTCCTTACACCTCATTTTCTGTCAGGAGGTGTTTGTTCATTTGTTTGGTTGGTTTTAACTGAATTTGTGATCATGGATGCCTAAGCAGGTTAACTTAGGTTAGTAGCAAACACCAAAAAGTTGTTTCTACACCAAATGAAGTAGGGCTTTCATAATGCAAACACACATTAATTGAAAAATTCCTGCTCTGAAGGAGCATAAAGCAGTATGAGTAACAGAGTAGGAGTGTTGCACAACTTCAGAGATGATTTAACACATACTGAGTACCATTACTTGTAGTGTCCTTTACTGGCATTGTACTTGAAATCAGTATACCCACCTGAATTAAAGATGACACTTTTGATAGGCAGGCAAGAAAATCTGAAAGGACTGGAGAGAAGATGGAGGAGAAGGCAACATTAACGCTACATAGACTGTTGTGTAAATGAACTCCAGAGGATCAAAAAGCAATACTTTTATAAAATGTATTTCTAAGTTTTCTTTGCCATCTGTAGGGTCTCACACTCTTTTTCTCTTTTTTTTTTCTCCTGCATTTTCTTTATAAATTTCTTTCTTAATTATATCAATGACATTAAGACATTAGGAATTCTAGGGAGAGAAAATGTAATCACACAAGACCCATAGTACCTCTGATGGGTTTTGATGATGAGGAAACACAGTTGAAATTTCATCAGAATATCACAGCAGAACTATCACCACAACTGGCTTTACTTATGCTCTGGAAACTTCAGGGTTCTTTTTTGGGGGGGGAGAGGGAACGGTATGCTTTGGATTTATATGGGAGGTACTGTTTTGTTTTAGAAATTCCACAATTGGGAAAATCTGTTCGAACTCTCAGCTCTTCTGAATTTATATTTTCTTGAACACCGGGCTACTGCTTGCCCAAAGCATTCGGTTGCAGAGCCACTGCTCTGCAGATTGTCTGACAGTATCACCAGCTGTCACATTTAACTGTAAATTACATGGTAATTAATATTTACCTTTAGCCTCAGCAACAGATTTCAGGTGATTGTGTTAGAATCTTCTATTAATTTTCCTTTATTTTTTCTTTCTTTTTTTTCATGAAAACATTAGTTCTTCATTATAACAGAAATATACTTGACATGACCCTAGGACTTAGATTGGGCACAAGCCTCTGTAACTTCATCTCCTAATTTCTCAGTGGTTATTGAGTAGTGAGGTGTGAGTATGTTGCTGGCAAAGCATAGCACCAAATCCAAAGGAATAATCCTTGTTATTTCCATGCAGGGAAGGCTTGGGCCCTTTGCTGTTCCCCAAGCTGATATGGTCCTGGGTAGAAAAAGCCATGTTGGCTTGGGCTTGACATTATGATGGCTAGAGGCAGTAGCAAAGTCTCAGGTTGTAGAAGAGAAGAGGAGGAGAGGTTAGTCCTGGGGCCAAGGAAGCACAGCAATGCAAGGGAAGAGTTTAAGAGTGGGAATGTGTGATCTGCAAAGCATTGCCTGGTTCCTCATGTGAGGTCCTGCTAGGGAATTAATTTTTCCTGCTGTGTTGGAGGAAGGGGAGAGAAAGTATGTATTTCTATAGAGGTTGTTTTGTTGACTCTTCCTTGCTGCTATCCTTTATACATAGAATAATAGAATGGGTTGGGTTGGAAGGGACCTTCAAGATCATCTAGTTCCACCCCTCCCTACCATGCACAGAACACCTTCCATTAGACCATGTTGCTCAGAGCCCTATGCAGTCTGGCTTTGAACACTTCCAGGAATGGGCCATGCACAACTTCCCTGGGCAATCTGTTCCAGTGCCTCACAACCCTTTGAGTAAAGAATTTCTTCCTAATATTTAATAAAAATATCTCCTGGTTTGGTTTAAACAATTCCCCTTTGTCCTATCTCTCTCTGCCCATGAAAAAAGTTGTTCTTCCTCTTTTTATAAGCCCCCATCAAGAACTGAAAGGTCGCAGTGAGGTCTCCCCAGGACCATTTCTTCTCCAGGCTGAACAATCCCAGATCCCAACCTGTCTTCATAGAAGAGGTGCTCCATGCCTCTACTCATCTCCGTGGCCTCTTCTGGACCTGTTCTAACAGGCCTTTCTTGTGCTGAGGACCCCAGAGCTGGACACAGTACTCTGGGTGGGATGGGCAGAGTAGAGGAGTAGAATCACCTCCCTTGACCTGCTGGTCATAAAATAAACAGTGTTTTAATAAGGTGTACAATCCCATTTTTGTTCTGGAAATAGTGTGCTGGTAACTGTGCTGTTGATGGCTGCCTGCCTACATGTGCCTTCTCCCTCCCTCAGCTAAAAATAAGCTTTGCCACCTCCTGTCATTTTACAAGGAATGTGCCATTAATGATGCCAAAAAGTGGTTTAGATGTTACTCGCTGCCATGATAGGAGCCATGTTAGGAGTGCATGCAACTATTTACTAATGAGACTGGTGGTTCTGCTGCTTCTGAAACTGCTTTTTATAGAAAACATAACAAAGTTTAATAACCTGACCATGTTTATTGCCTTACTGCATCAGCAGTAGCCTCAACTGTTGTTGAGCATGTGAGGTCTTCTAGGATATAGGAAAAGGTTTAATGAATTTGTTGATGTCTTTTCTCCAGTATTCTTCAGCAACCCATACCTATCTGCATGCTGAAGGCAAAGGAATCCCTTTTAAGCTGACATAGAGCTGGAAATCTATGTTGATTCTCTGAATCTCCATTCCCTCCATGTCTATGAAAGCACTGGTATAAGATGAAGGGATAACATTAGGTTTACTTGGAAATGTGTTCCTGAAAAATGTAGCATTACTGCTCCAACTAATCTTAATGTTATTCGGATGCTAGCATATATCCTGACCATAATTGTTCTTCCAGAATAAATCTTTCAGTTTTATATTCTCTTCTCTAAAACAGGTTGCTCAACATTTAGTTTCCTTGCTTTTAGAACAAACATAGTCTTTCAATGGTAATATATAAACAGATAGCTGTAAAATGCATCACCATAATACAAATCCAAGCAGTATTTATTCGCTGCAATCAGTGACTGCACTGATTGTGCCCCTAGGAAAATAAATGTTCCTTTAAAAATGTACAGATCAAATTAACATAGTAGTTACAGAAATGTGGGGTTTTTTTTCTTCAAAAGAGTTTGTAAAAGAAAAAATAGGAAAAGTCACTGTGAATAACAGAAAAATAGGGTTGAGATTGGTTTTCAGGAAGTAAATATATTTAACTAACTTTTAAGGTCTGAAATGTATTTTAGCATGGAATTTGGTTAAATACTCTCTGTGTGTGCCTGGTTCTGGAATGTGAGCTTTATAAAAATTCCCTGAAAGCAAAACATTGCAGTTATGTTTTTTTAAAGATCATTTTTTTGATGTAGGTTTAGTATCACTGTCACAGCATCTAAGGCTTCTTTGGAAGAAGCTACATAGCTAACAGATTTATAAAGGGATTGCATCATAGAGACTTTTGTGATTGATTTGTACATATTACAGCAAAAATTGCAGCAATAAAACAGATCTTACCCCATGACAAGCTGAAACAAATAAATTTATTTATTTAGATGAATTTAGTACTCATGAAAAGAGCCAGATTGACAGCCACAGAGACTTAATACCTCTATTCCACAGACCAAGTACAGTAGAAAGTAGTGCAGGATTCTCATGTGGCCCTGCTAATGTCTTAACTTTGATCTGTAGCTACCACCTTTAGACATGAGTAGTTCAGTTTGCATCCCCATTCACTCCTTAGACTAAAACTGCCAACAAGAGTGGCAAGTATGGTGATACTGTAGAGGAAACTAGTCGAACAGAACTGCCGACTGATATCACAGGAGCAACTTGAGTAACCACCTGAGTAACCACTGACCTGGCCAAGATTCAAAACAGTGTGATGTATTTGTGAAGGTTTCCACATTCCTATGCTGAAGTCCTAAAGTGGTTTGTCATCTGGACGTGATATTCCTCTTTTGTCCCTGATTAAATCTAGCCAGTGTTAAGAGATTTTGCACTCTGTCCACATACAGTTACATTTCACTTGAGAAGCTATTTCAAGGACCAATCCCTTGTTAATTTTTTTTTTAATTCAAAGAAATCAAGATAGTTATCCCTCAAGATCAAGTTTGAAGAACTATTCCCAAGAAAGGTCTCCTGAACTTTGCCTCTTCCTCTCCGTAATTCCTTTTCTACCAGTGAGTCTGATCAGGAATAAGTTATACTGCCTTCGGTGGAAGAGATTAAGCAAATTGTATAGATTTGGGAGCACCAGACTTTGGCAGTAGCATGTCTGCTTTCTTCTGAAGCTTACCTCATCCCTCTGCCATAGCAGCTATGGAAATCAGTCAGAGGCAGCCATTTATGCTTTTGCACTGTGATTTGAATTAGCATGCATTTAAAGTAGTCAACCTTAGTTATTTCTTTGCAAAGGTCAAGTAAAATTATTGTCCTCTTGCCAAAATTCCCCATATTGAGTAGGGACTACTAAGGATAACAAGAGTAGTGGTGTAATATTATTTCATTGCTAAATTTAATTAAGGTTTTCTTAAGGTAAATAATACAGACATGTGCCACTTTGTCAGAAGGATCTGTTCCAAGTCAGAATGTTGATCTTAGATGAGAAATACCATATGAAATATTTTCTATACTTTTCAGGTTTTATTCTGCTTGTATGTTTTAAAGCTGTAATGTTGGACATAGTTTAATTATGCTTACCCCTTAAAAGAAAGTGTGTTATTTGAGCTCCTACTAGTTGTTTAAAATGTAAACCTTAAACTGAGAATAGGAAAACTGTTCTTTTGGGAGTGTTTGTACTTGCAGGTGGTCAAAAGAACATACTTACCATATGGGTGTTATTTTTGATCAGAATGGTAAAAATTATCACTGGCTGAAAGAAATTCCATTTGAGTTCACTTTAGCACATGAAAAGCACTCCTGCTTTTTCTGTTGTTGCTGTGGTCAAGTTAGTGGCTGCTGATACTTGAGCTGTAGAACTGGTATAACACTGCTGTGCAGAAAAATAGAAGTGTATCTTTGTTATCAAAAGTAAGCAGTGTTATTGTAACACTAGTGATATATTCCTCTGTTGTACTGTCCAGATGACACGGCTCTTCTAGATATGTTTGATACTTGCCTAATACCTTCATGTTTTAGGTGAGATCTCAGCTCAATACTGAGAAGTGACATATCTTACTTAGCATGTATGTATTAATTAACAAATGGCCTTTTGCTGGAGTTTACCTTGTAATTGTAGAGCTGTTTTTGTGGGCAAGTTACCTGTGCTTTATGAATTCTATTCTGCTGTAACTTTCCTTAAGAGGGTGATAATATATATCTTTAAGTGAGTGAAATAAGATGAATTGGCAATAAACTTAGATCAGATCTTTCCAACAGTAGCTGTCCAGCTTCAGAAGCTGTAATCTTAAAATTCTTAGCTTCTTAAAGGACTGTTGAGAACACTTTAAAAAAAAAAAAAGGGAAAAGTTAATTCTTCCAAGTAAGTAAAAAAATTCAATTATTTTGGTAAATGATCATGTGGCAATTATTAAACTAATATGTAATTAGCATTTTCTAATTACAATCATAATTTTGAAGAATGCTTTCATTCATTTTTTTCTGATCATTAAAGACTTTAAAAGCACTGATTTTTGTTAACTGAGTCCCTTGGCTATTCATCAGTGATGCAATTCAACCTAATACTCCAGTGGCCAGTAATCAGGTGCCTATTAAGTGAAGGAAATTTTATCATTGTCTTTATGAACATCAGCTTTATTTCTTCTCTAACACAGCAGGTAGATAGAACTGTGAGATCATCCAGCTGATAGTTATTTGTACCTTTTTTAAAAGGCTGGATTACACCAATTTTTTACATGATCAAAATTCAACCAATATTTCGACAATAGTATGATCTTTGAAGTTGTTCAGATACGGGGCTTTTTTCTTTTTTTTTTCTTTTCTTAAAGTTAAACAAGAAATGGTTTTCAGTCTTCTCAATGGATGAGAGATACTGAACATGGTGTAGCTAAATGTTCTCCTATGTGCAGGCAACATACCCTATAATCAGTGCTGATGTTTGAATCCTCTTGTTTATCCCACTGCTTGTGCCAAATCCTCTGTTCTAGCAATTCCTTGTATTTATCTATGCCATGGCAAAGATATTCTTCTAATTCTTAGCTCTCTGCAGCAACTCTGCAGCTGCTCAGGTTTCTGTCCTCACTTTACTGAAGCACACCAGAATTCGTGGCCCCACTGCAGCCTAACTCCTTTTTCAAGCATGTTTGTGCAGCAGAGTCTCAATTTCAGTTCTTTTCCCTGCACTTGGAATGTGGTTATTTTATATTTACAGAATGTGAAAGATAAAACAAGTATGCAAAAAGTATAGCAATGTAGTACATAGTCACCAAAATATTTCTGTCTTTGTTTACTTTAGATGTTTGAGTTTATGCAGAGCCAAGCTGACTTCAAAAATAAAGGACAGATGATCAGAAATGTGGATAAGGACAGCATGTTCCTTTGCTTTATTTAGCATTGAGCATATTAATGGGTGCTCAATAAATGGTAGTGGTTTTGGAGACATGATGATTGATGTTTCCTGGATCAAAACATAGAGGTTTTGTTTAAGAACAGCTCAGCTGGCAGAGTGATCCTCTTTTGAAACTGTTTGTGATCAAAATATATCAGAGCTGTATCTATAAAGTACAGTAGGCAAGACTTTTTGTCAGTGGATTGGTTAATTTATTTTAACAGTAAACTATCAACTGTATCTTTGATTATTCATCCCTCCTGTCACACCATATTCCTATCAGTGAGTTAAAGTACTGCTCTTTTCTCTGCTTTCCAGATTTTGTTTCTTATGCTGTAAACATACTGCTCTCAAGAAGGGCTATATATTTTTGGAGTAGGAACACATACAAGGTAATGAAAAGAGAGGATTACATATTTATTTGTGTACAAAATTGTGCCACACGCATACTTTGGACAGCTAGTATTGAGAAAGAGAAAACTATCATCCGTCTTTTAAGGAAGCCATCTGTGTAACTCATCTGGTGCTATCATCTCTAGTCAGAGCACACCTCGGTGTGACTGGTATAACCAAATACTC